AACATAAATTGAAAATGTTCGTCGATGGAGGGGCCAGTCATAGCCTCTTCAACTTGGCGAGCGCAAAAAAATTGCAAGCTGCAACTTGACAGGTGTCTGCCCGAAATCGACGCCCGGCTTGGGGATGGGACGCCTCTAGCGATAACGGAAGAAACACGGACGGTCAGGATCGAATGCGGCGACGATTCCGGCTTCAGCATGAAGTTCCTCGCGACAACATTGGACGGCTGCGACGTCCTGCTGGGACGTGATTGGCTGCGACGGCACAACCCCGTCATCGACTGGACAACGGGATCGTGCAGCATCAACAAGCATGAGGGGGCTAATTAAGCTCCTTGCATGGACGCCTGACTACATCCAAGCCCCGTGCGTCAAAGCTATCACTATAGCTCACCACTTCAACAGAGGCGCGCAACTGTTCGCTGTTTGCTTACGCGAGTTGGCGGTCGACACCGAAGGAAAGGACATCGAGAAGCTGTGTGCAGCTGTACCACCAGATTTAGCGGAGATGATTCGGAGGTACCTGTGTCAGAATTATGTTTATTATAACTGCATGTAGTTCTAGCTGTAGTGTAGTTATTAAATTTGTAGGTGGTGCACCTCTTCATTTGTTTTCCTTTGCTATATGTACTTCGAAATCTATAGTGAAACCATCATTCTCCCAACTCTTCCTTCCAACTCACTCGAACCTCACCCTAGGCAAAACCTGCTCGACATACTAGTTGGGCCTAGGCTACTAAGCCTAGGCCCTAATTTAAACTACTCGTTAATCCTCGTTCAACTACTTTCGACAACCTGGACATCTTCCCCGACGATCAACTTCGCGGAAGACGATCAACTTCGACCACAAAATCAGCTGCCACCTGGACTGCCACCCGGAGAGACCTGAGGACCACAAAATCCAGCTGGAACCTGGAGCGCAACCAACCGTTCGGACACAGTGGCGGTTGACCCAGCCAGAACTCGAGGAGCTGCGACGACAAATTGACGCACTGTTGGAGAAAGGGTTCATTCGGGCCAGCACATCTCCCTTCGCAGCACCGATTCTATTCACTCCGAAGAAGGACAGCGGGCTCCGCATGTGTATCGACTATCGCGCGCTGAACAGGGTCACCATCAAGTCTCGCTATCCAATCCCACGCACCGACGACCTCCTCGACCAACTTCGCGGCGCCCGATGTTTCTCGAAGATTGACTTACGTGGCGGTTACCACCAAATTCGAGTCTTCACCGACGATTGTCACAAGACTGCGTTTCGCACACGCTACGGGCGTTACGAATTTACAATAATCCCTTTCGGCCTCACGAACGCGCCGTCAACTTTCCAACTGACCATGAACAGGGTTTTTCGGGATCTTCTAGACCGCTGTGTCATCGTCTACTTGGACGATATCCTCATTTTTAGCAAGACACGGGAGCGGCACCTCCGTGACCTGGATGTAGTATTTAAGCGGTCGCAGGAGAACCGACTCATCACCAAGGGCTCTAAGTGCGAGTTTTTTAAGCAGGAGTTGGAGTTTTTGGGGCACGTCATCTTACGCGATGCATTAAAATCGACCCGGCGAAAATCAAGACCATACAGGAGTGGAAGTCTCCGACTAACGTCACAGAGCTCCAGCATTTCCTCGGATTCGTGAATTACGTCAGGCGGTTTATCCGAATATGGCGGGGATAACCGGCCCCGCTGACCGACCTGCTGCACAAGGACAAGAATTTTGTGTGGGGGGAGGAGGCAGAAGCGGCTTTCCAGGAACTCAAGAATTTTCTCGTTTCCCCTCCAGTGCTATGCATTGCCGATCCATCAAAGCCGTTCGAAATTGTAACCGACGCCTCTGATTTTGCCATCGGAGCTGTGCTTCTCCAAGATTTTGGGAACGGGTTGCAGCCGATAGCCTACGAATCACGCAAGCTGCAGGCAGCCGAACGCAACTACCCGATCCACGACAAGGAGATGCTCGCCATCATACACGCGTTTAAATTATGGCGATGCTACCTGGTGGGTGCCGACGTCACTGTTCGCACGGACCACAAGTCCCTACAGTACCTGCGAGCCCAACCACCTCAACCCACGACACATTCGATGGCTCGACTACTTGGAGAGCCACTTCACCTACCAGCATCACGTACAAAAAAGGGCTAATAACATCGCCGACGCCCTGACCCGACCGACAGTACAATCCGCTGCAGTACTCATCACCCACTCAAACCCGCTACTTACCGGACTATTTACCCACGGCTACACGACAGACCCATTCTTCACAACGGGAAATCATCAGCAGGCTACGACGCAGAAAGGGGACGATTACCTAAAAGCCGGAACCGACTGGATTTGGGTTCCCGCTTACCGACTGCTGCTGTGAACTTCTCATCCAGGAGATCCACGATTCGAACCTCTTCGGACACTTCGGGGTTGATAAAACCCAGAAACTACTGCACCATCACTATTACTGGCCTGATTCATCTAACGGAGTGCAGCGCTATGTGTCCTCATGCAGGGTGTGCCAAGCAATGAAGTCGACACGTCAGCGACCAGCTGGGCTGCTGCAACCCTTCGAGCCACCCGAACGAGCATGGCAGCAAGTGACGATGGATTTCATCACGGGGAGATGCCAGCTGAGCCGACAGGCAACGACGCTGTTCTCGTCATCGTCGACCGCTTCACGAAAATGGCGCACTTCGCACCATGCCGAACGACAATCACAGCCGAAGAAACTGCGCGCCTTTTCATTTCAACGGTCGTGGGACTGCACGGCATCCCTTCGGCGATCATGAGCGACTGCGACCCAAAGTTCACATCCAAGTTGTGGAAGGAGACATGGGCGCAGTACGGCACGAAGCTCCAGTTCTCGTCGGCATACCACCCGCACACAGACGGTCAAACCGAGTGGACCAACCAGACCATGGAGCAGTTAATCAGGACAAACTGCCCCGACCCTGCCCGCTGGAAGACTCGCTAGCAATGTTGGAATTTGCTTTCAACAGCGCACCATCCAGCACGACTAATCACTCCCCATTTTCCTGAATTATGGGATGGACCCGGCAGTTCCAACGACAACTACACTCGCCAATGCCGGTCCCGAGGTCCTAGACTTTCGTGACGGAACTCCAGGGAAGTCCGCGAAAAAGCCGCCGACGCAATTCGCAAGGCGAATATTACTTCCCGCAAATACACCAACCTGCTACGACGGGAACTCGTCTTCACAACTGGGCAACTAGTGCTTCTTGACACGAAGAACCTGAACCTGCCCGGCCCAGCGAAACTACGGCCACGATTTTGCGGACAGTTCAAGATTCTCAACATGGTGACACCTGTCACCTGCGAAGCTGTTGCTACCCGACGATTGGCATATCCATGACGCGTTCCACATTAGCCTTCTCGGAGTTCGTGCCTGCAACGACCGACATCGCACATCAGCAAGCGACCCCGACAGCCCGACCTGTCCTGGAGCCAACCCTTGAACCTTCCAAGATTCTCGCTCATCGGGTCCGCCTTGACGCAGCTGGACGCCACGTAGATTTCTTAATTCGCTAGAACCGACCGCACCAGTGAGCACGACACGTGGGTGCCATCCGCTTCACTTGACGCCTCGACACTTGGTGGTGATTACCTGGCGCGACGGCGTGTTTCGGATATTGACTGCCTTTCTTAAGGGGGGGGGTGGTGTAAGGAATTTTCCCGAATTCCTTATCGGGGTTGACTGCTTCGCGTACAACCCGATTTTCGGAGTTCGCACGTTCGGCCGATTTCAACGCTGCCGAGGCTCCTCGCGTCGCCTTCGGCATTCCCATCGCCAAACCTGCACCCAACCTCGCTCGTCTGAGGTTTCCTCCTAGCTAGAGTAGTCCTACATTAATCTGTGCATTCATTGTATTCGCAGTTGATTCAGTAACAGCCTCGTTATTCGTTTACCTGCGCACGTCTCTTTACAACTTATAACACTTAGGGCGTGTCAGATCCGTTACAAGGTGATTTGGTCGGAATTTGGTCAACAATTTCGCCAAAGTAGACAACATGGTCGACTTCAATAGCGACCAATATCCAGCCACATTTACAAGGGCCGAAAAATCTGACACATTTGGTGGCCGATTTGATGGCCGCTTAGCAAATGTGTCAGATTTGCAGTTCCCCAGGGTCACCGGTGTTGGAACAAACAATCTTAAGCGCCTCTGTCGTGTCGAAACACCAAGGCACAAGCGAAGCAGAGCATATCGAGGCACCAATGAGTCAACCCTCGGAGGTTGATGTAACCGCTGGAGGTTACACGAAAGTCAAAGGTCAGCGACCTTTGACCTGACAAATGCAGCGCGACAGCAAGGACACACACTGCCTCGATATTCAGCAGTTGCCCGAGTCGCACTGTATCGAACCGCAACAGCAACAGTAAAGTAGTTATAACTATGTCTCTTTCATATTCTCTGTATTCATATATATAACTTTGTATCTCTTTGCTTAATCAACTTACTTTGCCCTCACATACCAGCGCAAGGTGGTTCAACGACTTCACTTAAACGCTTCCGCTATTACATTACATTACTCAGACTTTAACCCTATCAAAGATCCTAAGGGGCACTCAACCCAACATGGTATGAGAGCAGGTTAGGGTTAAAATTATTTTCTTCATCAACACCTAATACACCAAGAGACATCTCTACTAGAAAGGAGAGGAGCTCCTCCAACGGCTCTCCTGATACTACTCCTACTCCACCTCCTGCCTCTGGCCTACAGACAGAGGAAGGCACAACAACGAGACCGGCAACTAGGTCTACTGAAACACCCGCAAATCAAGGCGCGGGCTTCGATCCAAGCATGATGGAGAAGTCTTCCTCCTTCATGTCCGTCTACCAGCAGCATCAGCAAGGAGGACCTGTGCAATCAAACAACAGCAACAACAACAACAACGTGACGCCCATGAGTCTCGATGGCTCATCCTACGCATGCGGGAATCAACAACAGCAACCTACCTTCGCTCCGTACGAGCCTCAACGCGGCTCCGTCAGCTTCATGCCACAACCACAACCTGCACCGGGACAAGAGAGAACGTTGGGACGCACTACAAGTTCAGTCGCAGTTTGCGCACGTTCTAAAACTGCAAACGACAAAACCCTTCGACGGGGAGGATTTCTTTACCTGGTCATTCGAATTTGAGCTGATGATGGAAGGAGCGCAAATCCTTGGCTTCTTTGAACGGGTGTCAGATTATATGACATAGTTGCTGTAGGCTATAGTGGGGTAGCACATATGGGGTACAGGTTCTAGGGTTGTATTTGTACCCAATCTTTCCTTAGTCATTCATTCCTGTTTTCCTTTCTTCATATGGTATAGAGCGGGTCCTGCCTTAGGCCGTTTTTTTAGGGCCCACCGAAGCGCGCCCCGAGGCGCGCCTTTTTTTTTAGCGACCCCGTCGGGTCGCCTTTTCCCTCGCGGCCCCGCTGTCCCTCAGACGCGGCCCCGCCACCTCTCCTGATCGCGGCCCCGCCGCCTACTTGAAGCGGCCCCGCCGCCTCCCCTGACGCGGCCTCGCCGCCTCCCCTGACGCGGCCCCGCCGCCTCCCCTGACGCGGCCCCCGCCGCCTCCCCTGACGCGGCCCCGCCCGCCTCCCCTGACGCGGCCTCGCCGCCTCCCCTGACGCGGCCCCGCCGCTGCTCCTGCCGGCCCGCCGCTGCACCTGCCGGCCCGCCGCTGCACCCAGCGGCCCGCCGCTTCTGACGGCCCCGCCGCTGCACCCTTCGGCCCGCCGCTGCTCCTGCCGGCCCGCCGCCTCACCTGACGGCCCCGCTGCGCTCCTTCCGGCCCGCCGCTGCACCTGCCGGCCCGCCGCTGCACCCAGCGGCCCGCCGCTTCTGACGGCCCCGCCGCTGCACCCTTCGGCACGCCGCTGCTCCTGCCGGCCCGCCGCCTCACCTGACGGCCCCGCCGCTGCACCTGCCGGCCCGCCGCTGCACCCTACGGCCCGCCGCCTGCTCCTGCCGGCCCGCCGCTGCACCTGCCGGCCCGCCGCTGCACCTGCCGGCCCGCCACTGCACCGGTCGACCCGCCACTGCACCTGACGGCCCCGACCCTGCATCTCTCGGCCGAGCCGCCCCAGCAGCCGAACCGCCCGGGAGCCGAGCCGCCCAACGCCGAGCCGCCCGGGACCCGAGCCGCCCTGCCGCCGAGCCGCCCGGGAGCCGAGCCGCCCTGCACCCGAGCCGCCCAGCCGCCGAGCCGCCCGGGAGCCGAGCCGCCCTGCGCCCGAGCCGCCCCGCCGCCGAACCGCCCGGGAGCCGAGCCGCTGTGCACCCGAGCGGCCCGGTCGCTGAGCCGCCTTTCTGCATAGCTGCACGACTTGCCCTGCCTGGTGAGCACTGTCCCACTGACACTGCGAGCTCTTTCCCTACTGCTTGCACTGCGTCACTGTTGTCGCCATGGCTACCCCTAGTGTCCTAGCTTTTGACGCTGAGGGTCGCGCCATTGATTTTGAGGTCTGGTTAGACGACCTGCAGCTGTTCTTACAGTGCGACAGGGCTGACGACCTTTCTCTCTTTGACCTCACCTCTGGCGCCTCTCCTGCTCCTGCTGCCGATGCTGATCCCGCTGTCCGCTCTAAGTGGGCCACCCGCGATGCTGCTGCACGTCTTGCTGTGCGTCGTCACCTCCCTACCTCTGAGCATGCGCACTTTAGTCAGTACAAGAGTGCTCAGACATTGTACGACGCTGTAGTTGCGCGCTACGCCTCCCCTGCCACTGCTGCACTGAGCCGTCTCATGCTTCCCTACCTCTTTCCTGACCTCTCTGCCTTTCCCACTGTCGCTGACCTCATTACGCACCTCCGCACTAGTGACACTCGCTACCGCGCCGCCCTTCCTGCTGAGTTCTGCGCTAAGAACCCCCCCCCATGTACATCGCTCTCTACTACGTAGTCGCGCGCCTCCCTGACTCCCTTCGCGTCGTCAGGGACCACTTTCTCGCAGTCTGTCCCACCACCCTCACCGTCGACCTCCTCGAGAAGGCCCTCATCGCAGCGGAGAAGAGCATAGTCGCTGTAGGTGCCTCTCGTGGTGACCCTCGCACCCCCATCTTTGAGGGGTGCTCTCCTTCCCCCTTGCTGCCCTCTGTTGCCTCTGCTGCTGCTGCCGACCTACTTGGTCTTGAGTCGGTCGGCGCGGCGTCTGCCCCTAGTGGGAGACGTCGCTCCAGCAAGGGCAAGGGGAGCAAGGGCTCGGGTGGAGCTGGAGGGGGCGGTGGCGGTGGCGGTGGTGGCGGCGGAGGGAGTGGGGGTGGCGGCGGGACTAGTGGTGGAGGTGGTGGTGGTGGTGGCAGCAGTGGCGGAGACGGTGGTGGTGGTGCCAGCGGTGGTAGTGGAGGCAGCGGCGGTAGTGGAGGCGGCGGAGGTGGAGGCGGTGGAGGCAGCAGCGGAGGAGGCGGTGGTGGTGGAGGAGGTGGAGCTGGTCGAGGTGGTACCCAGCAGCGTAGCGGCGGTGGTGGTGGCCAGCGCTCGCAGCGGCAGCAGCAGCAGCGTTCGCGGGACATCCCTCCGCCTCAGCAGCTTCGTGAGTGGTACGCTGGGCGTCAGAGGGGTGGGGGTACTGGTCCCTGCACCTACGTTCTTCGTTCCGGCGACCGCGCGGGTGAGCAGTGTGGGGGTGCCCACGCCACCCAGCGCTGCTTTGGCCGCCTGACGGACGCTTGGCGTCGGCAGTTCCCTGGGGCTAGTGAGATCCCTCGCTGGGATGAGCTTCTCAGGGCTGGTGTAGCGATCTTTGATCTTGATTTTGATGCTATCCTTGCTGCTATGTATGTTGTGGATTATAGTGAGGAGAATGAGGGTTACCGCTGTTTCCAGCCCTACCCGTACCCGGCATTGGTACTGCTGCGCTAGGTGCTTGTGAGGCTGCTGCTCTAGGTGCCAGTGCGTCTGTGCTCTCAGGTACTGGTGAGACTGCGCTCTCAGGTACTGCGTCGTCCTCGTCCTCCCTCACTTTCACACTTGACTCCGGAGCTTCTCGCTCCTTCTTTCGAGACCGCACTACCCTTACGCCGCTCGGCCGGCCGGTTGCGGTCTCCCTTGCTGACCCCTCTGGGGGTCCTGTCCTTTCTCACTTCTCCACTGTCCTCCCGTGTCCGGCTGCCCCTTCGGGCACCCTGTCGGGTCTGTACCTTCCCTCGTTCTCTACGAACTTGGTGAGTGGAGCGGACCTGCAGGATGTGGGGGTTCACCAGTTCACTCCTGCGAGTCAGCGGGTGACCCACTGCACGGAGGCACGCACAGGCCGACACCTGGCCACGTTCTCGCGTCGGCCGGGGTCGAGTCTCTACACCCTGACCGTTGAGTCTCCTCCTGTCCCTGCGTCTGGTCAGGTGGCTGCGTCGAGTCAGGTGTTTGCTGCTGCGTCCCGGTCAGGTCCTGAGTCTGCCCCCTGTTCTTGTCGCCTCCTGTCTCACGAGACTCTCCTGTGGCACCACTGTCTTGGCCACCCCTCCTTGCCCCGTCTTCGGAGCATGGCTTCCCGTGTCCTTGTCTCTGGTCTTCCCAGTCTCTCCCTCCTCCTCCCCCTCCGGACCAGGACCTTCCTGTGTCCCCTGTGTCGAGGGTCGCCTCCGGGCTACTCCTCACTCCTCCCACTTCCCCCCGACAGAGGCTCCCCTGCAGACGCTTCACATGGATGTGTGGGGCCCAGCCCCCATCCGTGGGCAGGGTTACGAGCGCTACTTCCTGTTGGTGGTTGACGACTACTCGCGTTACACCACAGTCCTCCCCTTGCGCAGCAAGGGTGAGGTCACTGAGGTGCTGATCGACTGGATCCGCGAGGCTCGTCTCCAGCTCAGGAAGAGCTTCGGCTCGGACTTTCCTGTTCTGCGTCTGCACTCTGACAGAGGCGGAGAGTTCTCTTCTCGCCTTCTGCGGGACTACTGTCGTGCACGGGGGATCCGCCAGACCTTCACGCTTCCGGACTCACCACAGCAAAATGGGATTGCTGAGCGCCGCATTGGCATGGTCATGGATGTCGCTCGTACGTCCATGATGCATGCGGCTGCCCCCCATTTTCTGTGGCCGTTTGCGGTGAGGTACGCGGCGCATCAGCTCAACCTTCACCCCCGGGTCTCTCGGCCTGCGATGTCCCCAGCCTTGCTGTGGACGGGGAAGGTTGGCGATGCGTCTGTGTTCCGTGTCTGGGGATCTCGGGCGTTTGTCCGCGACTTGTCTGCGGACAAGCTGTCCCCTCGTGCTGCTCCCTGTGTCTTCCTTGGCTTCCCCACTGACGCCCCAGGGTGGCAGTTTTACCACCCCTCCTCTCGTCGTGTTCTGTCCTCCCAGGACGTCACGTTCGACGAGTCAGTCCCCTTCTACCGTCTCTTCCCCTACCGCACTCCTTCCCTCCCCCCTCCCCCGGACTTCCTTGTGCCGGTTCCCCCCCCGGTAGACCCCCTCCCCCCTCAGGTTCCTGCCCCCTCAGGTGTGTCCCAGGTAGACGTCGTTGACCCGGTCGAGGTTACTGGTGACTCTGGTGCTGCTGCGGGTGCTGAGCCTGGGGGTGCTGACTCTGGGGGTGCTGTGCGCGGGGGTGCTGAGCCTGGGGGTGCTACTGCTGGGGGTGCTGGGCCTGAGGGTGCTACTGCGGAGGGTGCGGAGCCTGGGGGTGCTGAGCTAGGGGGTGCTGTGCCTGGTGGTGCTGGGTCTGGGGGTGCTGGGTCGGGAGCTGCTGAGCCTGGGGGTGCTGAGCTGGGAGCTGCTGAGCCTGGGGTGCTGCGTCTGGAGCTGCTGGGCATGGGGTTTCTCCTGCTGCTGCGTCTCGCCGGGAGCCCCTCTCTCCACAGGTTCTGCGCGAGTGGTTCGCTCGCCGCTGGAGGCGTGCAGCTGAGTCTGGAGGTGCTGCTGGAGCTGGAGCTGGAGCTTCTTCGACCGTCGAGGGTGCGGGTGCTGCCGGTCCCGGAGCTGCTGGACCTGCGGGTCCCCCTGGAGCTGGAGCTGCTGAGGGCGTTGGTGCTGAGCCTACTGCTGTTGGTCCTGCCGCTGGAGGTGTGGGTGGCACTGGTGCTGTCGCTGAGGGTGCTGGTGCTGTCCCTGCTGCGTCTGGAGCTGCCGCTCGGCCTCGGCCGTACTTCGTTCGGCTCCTGCAGCAGGTTCTTGTCTTTCTCCTCCAGTAGAGGGTCCACTGTGTCCAGTCAGTCAGGTCCAGCTGTCCGTCGCGTCCCTGCTGGAGCCTTCCTCTCCACTACCTGCTCCCTCTCCTTACACTGGTCCTACTGGAGGTCTTGCTGAGCGTCGTGAGCCTGCGTCTCGTCCCGCGTCGCCTGTTCGTGCTGCTCGCGCTAGTGGTCGCAGTTCGCGTCAGCGTCCTCCTCCTGTCCCTGGCACGCACCGGATGTCTTTGCGTCCGTCCACTGCTCCTCTGCGTGCCCCTTTGCCTTCTCCTCCTGAGTCCTCTCTTCCTGCGCTTGCCGACCCTGAGTCGGACTCTCTTCGTGCTGCCAGTCCTACTGTCACGCGTCTCCTTGCTACTGTCGTCACTGACCCCTCTTTTGAGTCCACTGCTGCGTCTGCTCTAGTCGCTGAGCTCCACGACTTTGCTGCTCGCTGTCGTCTCGACTACGCTGCTCGTCTTGTTGCTGAGTCTGCGTCTGTCTGTCCTCCGTCCGTCGGGGGTGAGTGTGCTCTTGGCACGGACGTCCTAGAGGACAGGGAGGAGGAGTTACAGTGTCTAGCGGCTGCTTCACCTCATCTCGCGTCTGTACTGCTTGCCCCTGAGGGAGACCCGGATGCACTAGACATCCCGACTCCGCGTTCTTACGCGGAGGCCGTAGAGGGTCCCTACTCCTCTCAGTGGCAGGCAGCTATGGATGCAGAGATGGCTTCCTGGAAGTCCACAGGCACCTACGTTGACGCGGTCCCCCCTCCTGGGGCGAACATCGTCAGTGGCATGAGGATCTTCAGGGTGAAGCGGCCGCCGGGCTCTCCACCTGTCTTCAAGGCACGGTACGTTGCTCGTGGCTTCAGTCAGCGGCAGGGAGTTGACTACTTTCAGACCTTCTCTCCCACCCCGAAGATGACTACTCTTCGGGTGCTGCTGCACATAGCCGCTCAGCGCGACTACGAGCTTCACTCTCTCGACTTCAGCACTGCGTTCTTGCAGGGTAGCCTGCACGAGGAGATCTGGCTTCGCCGTCCACCTGGCTTCACTGGGACTTTCCCTCCTGGCACCCAGTGGAGCCTCCGACGGCCAGTCTACGGTCTCCGCCAGGCACCGCGTGAGTGGCACGACACACTGAGGACTACGCTTGCGGCTCTTGGGTTTGCTCCTTCTACTGCTGACCCGTCGCTGTTTCTTCGCACCGACACTTCCCTGCCGCCGTTCTACATCCTCGTGTACGTCGACGACTTGGTCTTTGCCACAGCAGACACTGCTGGACTTGCCTACGTGAAGTCCGAGCTGCTGAAGAGACACACGTGCACAGACCTGGGTGAACTGCGCAGCTACCTTGGCTTGCAGATCACTCGGGACAGAGCACGCCGCACCATTACCTTGACTCAGTGACACATGGTGCACCAGGTCCTTCAGCGCTTCGGCTTCACGTACTCCTCGCCTCAGGCCACTCCTCTGCCTACTCGCCACTCACTCTCAGCTCTGCCTTCGGATGAGTCCGTAGAGTCGAGTGGTCCGTATGCAGAGCTTGTTGGCTGCCTCATGTACCTGATGACCTGCACACGACCTGACCTTGCATACCCTCTGAGCATTCTTGCTCGCTATGTTGCTCCTGGGAGACACAGACCGGAGCACATGGCTGCAGCGAAGAGGGTATTGCGCTACCTGTGCAGCACGTCGGGCATGGGGCTAGTGCTTGGAGGGCGGAGTCCAGTGGTCCTTACCGGCCACGCGGACGCTTCTTGGGCTGACGACCAGGCTACGCAGCGGTCGTCACAGGGTTACACCTTCAGCCTTGGTTCCGGCTCTGTCTCGTGGCGGTCTACTCGCTCGTCTTCGGTTCTTGGCTCCAGTTGTGAGGCTGAGATCTACGCCGGGGCCATGGCTGCACAGGAGCTTCGCTGGCTCACCTACCTGCTGACTGACCTTGGAGAGCCGCCTCGTTCTCCTCCAGTGCTGTACGTAGACAACAAGCCATGCTGGCCTTGTGTCGAGAGCAGCGCTTGGAGCACAGAACGAAGCACATTGCTCTCCGCTACTTCCTTGCTCGTGAGCTGCAGCAGCGTGGTCAGCTGCGACTTGCGTACGTGGCCTCTGAGGCCAACACTGCTGATGTGTTCACCAAGGCACTCGCGCCTTGTGACCATCAGCGCTTTTGCACCCAGCTGGGTCTTGTGCCTGTCTTGCCTCACTTGCTCTCCTCTTGACTTCACTTGTACTGTGACATATATATATGCCTGCTCTTGCTTGTCTAGTTTTATATATATGTCTGTACTCCTGCATGTGAACTGGCCTCTGGCCCTACTCTTGTGCTCGGACTGTGTGGTGACTTTGTGATCAACCCTGAGCTTGCTTTGCTTTGCTTGACTGGTCTTGTGACCCCTTGTTCTCCCCCACTTTGCCTATGGGGGTGTGTCAGATTTATATGACATAGTTGCTGTAGGCTATAGTGGGGTAGCACATATGGGGTACAGGGTTTCTAGGGTTGTATTTGTACCCAATCTTTCCTTAGTCATTTCATTCCTGTTTTCCTTTCTTCATAACGGGTCCCTGCCATACCCAACAAACGGCACACAGTATGAGAAGCAGCAGTACACCTATCAATTAATGATGGCGTACACGATACTACTGAGGAACATCACTCCATCTCAACAACAAAACATTCGGTCTTACCGAGGCTACGGCAACTCCGCGGAGCTCGCGTACAATCACTTGAAGACCCTGTATCAAGCAACAGACAGCGTAAACCAAAGTCGGTTAATGACGCATCTAACTGAAATTGAAACAAAACCAGGCGAGAAGGGAATGGCGTATATCAATCGCTGCCGCGAGCTGCGCGACAAGCTTCTTCGATGTGGAGGATCGATTTCAGAGGACGCCTTCGTCACGGTTGTCATCGGCGGTCTTGGTCCTCACTGGCACTCCACTCGCGCCATACTACGAGCCCACGGGAAAATCTCTGAAGCAGCAATTTGCGCCGAAATCCACGCCGAACAGCAAGACATGGACCTGCAAGAAGTACGACACAAGAGAAATGTGTCAGTACCCGAATTCGCGTTTCACACTCAACGGCGCCACAACAACAACAATCGACCGAAAATCATACCTCCGTTTTGCCACCTCTGCAAGACTTCAGGGCATCCTCGCACGCACTGCCCAATCGACAACGCCAACTTCGCCCTTCAAGTAGTCAAGTCGCCTCAACACAAGCAAATCCGACAACTTGAGTACACGTCTCAACAACATCAACGGGACAACATGCAAAAGAAACAAGAAACATCGTCAGCTGCATGGCAAGGTTGAGTGACTCCTGCGCAACTGAGTCACCACCATATTACTCACCAGAAGAACAACTCGACAACAGCACGCCTCGCCGCGAGTCACTTCAACCAAACCCGACGTACACCGCCATCGCCCAAAGCGAGCTGTCCGGGAAAGATACATGGTTCTTGGACAGTTGCTGCGGACAACATATGTGCTCTTCAGGACGTTTCGCTCAACGCGAGCACCAACTTCAACGAGAAGTCGTCATCACTGTCGCCAATAATCAGAACCTGCGCACACGACGACAAGGAGTAGTGCAACTTCAGTCACGAGAGACAAATGTCATACTGCAAATGTCCAAAGTCCAAATAGCAGAAGGACTCGGCTACGACTTACTGAGTGTTAGTCAGATGATGGCGAAAGGCATACATCTAGAAGCCAACAGCACCATCCAGGAGTTCAAGCTGTACCACGGGAAGGGCGGCCTCTACATCGGAAAGGCGATCGTGAAGAACAATGTCTTCGTCCTCGATTTCGTCCCAGACCTGGGCACCGCGGACAGTGACGGGATCGTCACCTTCACATCTTGGACGCACCCGCCGGATCTCGACCCCGACTTCAGTCCGGAAGGCTTCTGGTATTCACATACCATTCCTGAAGCAGAACGAACACGTGCGTTAGCAACAATACAACACTCGCAGCAGCAGAGACAACATCAGTAGCAGCAGAGACAACATCGGCAGCAGCAGTGATAACATCGGCAGCATCAGAGACAACACCGGCAGCAGCAGTGACAACATCGTCAGCAGCAGAGACATCATCGGCAGTAGCAGGAACAACGACACCACTCCTCGTTGACGAAGCACCACCAACACCCGCACAGCAGCTGAATCCGACTCAACGGGAAGTCCATAGAAGCGCAAACTTCACCGCCAGCTTCTACTCCAACTCCGATGCGTATCGACGCTCACCCGGACACCACGCCTTTGAAGACATCTGGCACGGACGCATGGGACACCGAAGCAACGCTGTGTTAAATGAAACAATAAGCGCAGGAGTCCTTGACAAGGACTCATTATTACTACTCGACGGCAGAGAACTTCAACGGGCACGAGGAACTTGTCTTACCTGCCCCGAAGCCGACTTACCACATCGGCCGTTCACTCCTCATCACAACCCGAGCGCACCGCGTACGCACCACTCAAGAAGGTGTACAGCGATATCTGTTCAATCGGGAACCAGGACAAGTCACAAACAACTACACGACCACCTTCATCGACGCCGCCACCCGTTACGTCTGGCACCTAACTACCTACCTAACCGCGACATGGCACTCGCAGTCTTCGCTGCCTGGCTACCAGTAGCAGAGAGAGAGTCGGGCGTACAACTGAAAAGCTTCCAGTCAGATGGAGGAGGAGAATGCACTTCTCACTCAGCGATTCAAGCAGTACGTGGTGGAAACGGGAATCAAGCAGCTCCTCTCTCTTCCCTACGCCCATCAGCAGCAAGGTGTAGCAGAAAGAATGAACAGGACTCTGCAGAACAGCATGCGCAAACTGTTACGTGGCATGCGGCTACTCAACCACCAGTGGCCTGCAGCAATGGACCACGCTGTCATACTGCACAACTTGATGTCGTCGTCTTCACTCCTGAACAACGCATCACCGCATCTGCTATGGACAGGGAAACAGGGCAGCACAAAAATGTTACGGGTTTTCAGGTGCATGGTAGAATACCGACCCCCAGAAGCACGAGCGGGCTGATTTTCACAACGTGCACAGTGGGGACTACACCTCGGCATCGAAAAGAACTACAACGCGTGGAAAATCTTTGACGTCCACTCCAAGGAAACAGTAGCAGCACGCGACGTCATTTTCTACGAACGACTCACGCTCCAGACGTACCTTGCCAACTTGCAAGAGAAGGAAGATCCCAAAGGTGGCTTTCGTGGTGACCAAGCCTTCGCCTCAGCAGCGGACGAAGCAGACTAGGACGAGCAGAATGTGGACAACGCATCAGAAGAAGCCGGACCTCTCCCGTTTTGCTCTGTGAACGTTCCCATGGACGAAGACAACCCTCGCGAAAGGGCCAACGCCGAAGTCTTCTACCACTTCGCCGACAACGGTTACGTAACACCTGCGACAGTCAACACCAACGAAGCAGAACAAATAGGGCCGAATTTCATACCCGATCCAGAAGCGGGAGATGAAGCAGCTTATCCCGAGGACGCAACTCTTCCCCGCTACTCACAGACTGGACTGCAGATTCTTCGACTCGTCACCGTACTCCACGGCAACACTCTCCCTAAGGAGCCTGCGACGGTTCAGCAGGCGCTGAGGGGGGAACACAGGGAAAATGGCGTGAAGCCATGGACAGAGAGTTAAAGGCGCTGGAGGAACGGAACACCTGGAAAGTCGTCCCCACCAGCGTGGCAAGGAACAAGACCATTCTCACCGGGAAATGGGTCTTCCGCATTAAAACAAAAGCAAACGGCACAATTGAGAAGTTCAAAGCACGCTGGGTCGTGCGTGGATTCGATCAAGAGCACGGACGGGACTTCACCGAGACATTCGCCCCGGTTAGCCGACATACCTCACTTCGAATCCTCCTCGCAATCGCCGCCATGAAGAAGAAGAAGCTAAGACAAATCGACGTCGCCAACGCGTTCCTCTACGCACCTGTCGACGTGGAAATCTTCGTCGAGCTCCCACACGGTACCCACGGGGAACCTAACCAAGTTTGTCAACTACTGAAATCACTCTACGGGATCAAGCAAGCTCCGCGGCTAGGGCAACAGTACCTACACTCTCGCCTCATTCGCATCGGATTCCGCCAACTACCTCACGACCAAGGAATGCACCGACTCACTAAAGACACCGACTACATTCTGCTGATCGTCTACGTAGACGACCTACTGTACATCGGCTCTACTGACGACATCACCACCTGGTTCGAAGGGGAGCTACAGAGGGACCTCACACTCACGGTCTCCTCTACCGTCACCCAGTACCTCGGCTTAAACATTCGGGAAGAAGAAGGCGCGATCTACCTCAACGCCGCTAAGTACGCCGACACCATCGCCAAACGCTTCGCGCTCACACCTACCACCATCTCTACGCCCTACCGCTACACGACAGGAAACCACAAGGAAGGACCCTCTCTACTCAAATCCGTCAGGATACGCGACTACCAGAGAAAGCTGGGCTGCCTTCTCTTCGCAACTGTCATCTGCCGCCCATATCTATCCTACTCCGCAAGCCAGCTCGCCACCTACCTCAAAAGGCCTGAAGCAGAACACCTGGCGGAGCTCGACCGCGCTCTCCACTACTTCGTCAGTACCTCAACGATCGGCCTAACCTACTACAAGAACACAACTACACCGACTAAATTAATCGACTACGTCGACGCTGATCACGTTGGCGACTCAGACAATAGGCGCTCCCGCACTGGCTACATCTACCGCCTCGAACCTATCGGACCGATCTCCTGGCAATCGAGTAAGCAGGAATTAATCGCTCTCTCGTCAGCTGAAGCAGAATATATTGCACTCTGCTCAGCCACCAAGGAAGGACTCTATCTTCGCGAGCTGCTGGAAGAAGCGAAGTTAGCCGAGTTACCCAACTTCACTCTGTTCTGTGACAACCAATCTGCAATTCGCATCGCCAACAAAAGTGATTCGCGAAAAGAACGAAGCATATCGCTCTACGATGTTTCTTCGTGAAAGACAAGACCGAGAAGGGGAAACTTGAACTATCCTACTGTCCCACGTCCGAGATGGCAGCTGACTACTTGACCAAGAAGCTCGGAAAACAGAAGTTCGAGTACTGCATGCTGCTGACTGGACAAAGCCACGTCACCATCAGCGACACTCCAGAAGCGAAGGGGAGTGTTGGGAACAAACAATCTTAAGCGCCTCTGTCGTGTCGAAACACCAAGGCACAAGCGAAGCGGAGCATATCGAGGCACCAACGAGTCAACCCTCGGAGGTTGATGTAACCGCTGGAGGTTACACGAAAGTCAAAGGTCAGCGACCTTTGACTTGACAAATGCAGCGCGACAGCAAGGACACACAACTGACTCGACATTCAGCAGTTGCCCGAGTCGCACAGTATCAAACCGCAACAGCAACAGTAAAGTACTTATAACTATGTCTCTTCATATTCTCTGTATTCATATATATAACTTTGTATCTCTTTGCTTTAATCAACTTAGGGTGCGTTCCTGGTTCGTGGCAGGGCCACTGTAGCAGGCACTGTTGGTGGCATGCGGGAAAACCGCATGCCACCAACATTTTGCCCGAGTCGCGCGCGACACGATTTTGGTGGAATTGACATGACATTTTTGGGACATTGCCCAATCACGCACCTGTATTTGCGCGCCAAAATTCCTGACACCAACCTGGCGTTTTATGTGTTCGTGGCAGGCTGCCATCTACAGTGGCCCTGCCACGAACCAGGAACGCACCCTTACTTTGCCCTCACATACCAGCGCAAGGTGGTTCAACGACTTCACTTAAACGCTTCCGCTATTACATTACTTTACTCAGACTTTAACCCTATCAAAGATCCTAAGGGGCACTCAGCCCAACAACCAATTTGTGCAACGGAGTCGCAGATGCAGTACTTGTGTGACCCATTGCGTCGCACGAGTTGGAGATGTCGCGTAGTGACTGTAGCGATCTTAGGTCAACAAATTGGTTGACTTTCGAGTCGACTGCACATCGGAACTTTGTCGAATGCTGAACCGGCCATCAATTTTTTTCCAAATGACCAGATTTGGCGAGCTGTACGAAAATCTCTGCGGATGTCGAGAATGTGTTACCTACGCTCATTCCGGCAGGCCGGATTTTTCCGACAACGGATCTGACTTACCCTCACAACTACAATGCCAACCTGAGTTGGTCTGATAAAAGCCCTTTGGATCTTTGCAGGGGTGAACTCTGGGTAGGATTGATGTAATAGCGGAAGCGTTTAATGAAGAGTTGTGAACCACCTTGCGCTAGTATGTGAGGGCAAAGTAGATTGATTAAAGCTAAGAGATACAGGTTCATATAAGAGTACAAGGAATACGAAGAGATACAGTTATAAATGCTTTACTGTTGCTGTTGCGGTTCAATACAGTGACGACTCGGGCAACTGCTCTGTAGCAAGTCAGTTGTGTGTCCTTGCTGTCATGCTGTACTTGTCAAGTCAAAGGTCGCTGTCCTTTGACTTTCGCGTAACCTCCAGCAGTTGCTCAACCTCCGAGGGTTGACTCGCTGATGCTGTGATATGTTGTGCTTCGCTTGTGCCTTGGTGTTTCGACACGACAGAGGCACTTAGAGTTAGTTGTTTCCAACAACAATGACTTGATAAGATGTATACGTACAATGTGGGACCTTGCTGGATCAGATTGTTTCAATACTAACTGAATCCACATTTCCTAGCAAGCGGTAGCTAGACCCGATACCTATAACACTACCACTACATGGTACTATCTTCGCCTCCCTTGTCTCTCTTGCCTTTTTTGCTCTTGCAGCTGCTTCTTCAAAGCAACAAGAGCTCTACTGGTTTCACTACTGCCAAGAGCGCCTGAAAATCCCTGGGAAACTGACCCAACAATTGCTCCATTTGCCTGCTTTACATGGTCCTGCTGCAATGCTTTCCCAGTCCTCTGTTTCTGCTCCTGCATCCCCTTCTCGTTGGTTTGGCCTATGTGATGTGGCTGCTGATCCATATCCAAATCTGTTGATTCTTGGCTCGCAGTGTGCTTCTGTTTATGCTTATTCTGCTTCTGCTGCTTTTTTCGGTGATGTTGCCGCATCTGCTCATCTCGTGCACTCTGGACAAGCGCGTGGATTGAGCCGTTGTCCTGACTGGTGGCATTTGCACAACCTTCCGTCCCTTGGCTGCTGCTGCTGCTGCTACTGTTGCCAGATCCACCACTCTGGCTTAACCTGCTGCTGCTGCTGCTGCTGATTTCACCGCTCTTGTTGCCATTGCTGCTGCTGTCTCTGCTGTTTCCTCTGACATCTGCAGAAGCTGCTAAAAGAGAAGAATCATCGCCACCTGTTGTTGGCAGCTGCGCCTGCAACTGCTCTCGCAAGCTCAAGGAGTGTGGGGAAGCTTCCTGTACTGCGCCATGGGTTCGCTTGCTTCTGGTGGTGTGCTTGATGGGAGTCGGTGAGCTGCTGCTGTGGCTGGAGGGCTGTGGGGAGGAAGATGAGGAACTGTTAACAGAGGAGGACGAGGAGGAGAGAGTGGAGGTGGAAGAGGAAGAGGAGGAGGGAGAGAAGGTGGAAGAGGAGGAGGAGAGAGAGGTGGGAGTGGCGTTTAGTGAGGTCTTGTCATACTTCACCTGGAATATACATGAGAGACAATCAAGGAGCAGAGGGAAAGAGAGATGCTTAGGTGTCTCAGAGCTGTCTGATGGTGCCGCCAAATGACAGCTCGGCAATATCCATCACAAACGACACAGAGGAATAATGAGAACGACTGGTTGAGAGAGCTCCAAAGGTGAGCAACAAGTAACCAGGGAGAACAAAAAGAAAGAAAGAAAGAAAAAAAAGCAATCTAAGAGATCGGGCTAACTGGCAGTTGTGGCACAGCTAGGGATATAACTCACACAATGCACAAGAGGTAGTAGGGGTATTACCCACAATGAAATTGAAGTAACAGAGATATTACTCACAATGTACTTGAGGTAGTAAGGGTCATCTTCTGCTGCCGATCTCCGCATGGCCAGAAGCCCCTGAAGGGTCTCCTGGGGGAGCTGATGCTCCAGCAGACTGCGCTTGTACGTGCTGAAGGGACAAACGGGACCGTTGTTAGGGGAGGGAAGGGAAACGGGTTAGTGGAGCAAAGGGAAGGCCCTGAAGGTCTCCTGGGGGAGCTGGTGCTCCAGCAGACTGCGCTTGTATGGGCTGAAGGGACAAACGGGAGGGATGGGGTCAGAGAGGGAGAGGTAACGGATGAGTGGAGCATAGGAGAAGCCCTGCAGGGTCGGATGAGGGAGCTGATGCTCCAGCAGACTGTACTAGTGCGTGCTGGTATGGTGACACGGGAAGGTAAAAGAAAGGTGGACGAGAAGGGGAAACTCACATGGAGTTTGGAAAAAAAGCAGCCTCATGTGGAGGGAAGAGAAAGAGGGGGGTTGGAGGAGCTTATGCTCAAGCAGCCTCTGCGTGTATGAAGAAGTGTTTTGAGACGTGTTTGAGACGTCTCAAAACACTTCTTCATCCACACGGTTGGAGGAGCTTATGCTCAAGCAGCCTCCGCGTGAAGGTGCTGCGGGTGAGACGAAAAGGGGTTAGATGGGGGAGGGATGCAGAAACGGAAGGGATGAAGGTCAGAACGACGTGCTCTGCAGAGTGAGGGAGCTCAGGAGGGATAGGAGGGGGAAAGAGAGGACAGAAGGAGAGGAAGGGAGAAGGCTAAAGCAGTGGAGGAGCGGGAGGAGAGGAGGAAGGGGGGAGAGAAGGGCACATACTCTGTTCTCTCTCTGTAGGGCTTTCCCTACGAGCGTCCTTCAGCCGCCTTGACGTGCGTCAAGTATTGAAGTCTCAGGTCTTTATGTGCTCAGAAAGAGAGAGGTATACGTACTCTGTACTCTGCAGGGCTTCGTTTGGATCCCTACGAGCATCTCTCAGCCGTCTTTGAGGCACCTAAAAAGAGAGACGTGCTTCATAAAGAGCATCTTATCAAGAGAGAAGAGTACATACTCTGTACTCTGTAGGGCTTCGTTTGGATCCCTACGAGCGTCCCTCAGCTGCCATAAGGGAAGGGGCAGAGGAGGAGAACGGGAGAGAAGTTCATGGAAGGAAGCACAGGAGGAAAAGACATAAGTATGGAAGGTGGTGAACGCAGATAGAGAAAGATAAAAATGCATTCCGTGGGCACATGGCAAGAGTGTTTTGAGATGTCTCAAAAGACAAAAGTATGGAAGGTGGTGAGCGCAGATAGAGTAAGATAAAAATGCACTCCGTGGGCACATGGCAAGAGCAGAGGAACAGGGATGCTTTGACTAAACCCTTGGGACGAGAGAAGCAGCACAACACCCTGCCGAGAACATGAAACTCTTACATGTACTTGAAGCAGCACCAGAGAATGTTTTGACACTTGGACTACACTACATGGGTAGCTTTTCAAAAGCAACTACACATGGAATACAAAGGTAATCACTACACAGTCTACATGAACTGCTTCTTGTGAAGCATGCTCTGATTATTCTTCTGAGCAAGGAGAGCATGAAGGTGAGAATTCTCTAGCCGGCTTAGCTTGACACGATAACCAAGACATGCCTCTTGTATGTAAACAGGGGTGATATAAGAGTTGTTTGTAATAAACACCCTAAGAAAGGTGAAGCTATATGAATCAAGGATAAGCATACCTCCTTCATGATAATGTTTCACCGCCTGACATAGCCACCCTAAGAACACACCCAAAAAAGCAGGGTATTTCTGGGAATTTTGGAAAAGGGTGAAGCTTTAGGCATGAATGTGGAATACCTACCTCCTGTATAAAAGCGGTTGAGCTCTTGACATAGCCACCCTGGAAAGATTGCAGCACACAAGGAATTGCGATAAGAGAGGCGAGGGTGGGGTTTAGGGGAGTGGGGGAAGGAGGTGGGGGTTGAGCTCTTGACAAACCACCATGGAAAATTGCAGCACTCAAGGAATTGCAGCAAGCAGGGGTGGGTGGGGAGGGACGGGGGGGTAGGCTTTGAGACGTCATTAAGGATTTTTGAGGTCTTGACATAGCCACCCTGAACAGAGCTCCGCACAAAGATTGCTACTTGGGAGTCACTTTTGAGAATTCTCAGAAGTGCCACTCTGAACAGAGCGCCGCCGCACACAGATTGGGGTTATACAAAAGCTTTTGAGGCGCCTCAAAATTTGGGGTTATAAGAAAGCGGGGTATGCATCTGCTTTTGAGTCGACTCAACATCAGAGAGTCGCACCATAGATTGTGTTATACCAGAGCAGGGTATGCGCCTTGAGACAAGCATAACGAGTTACTTTCACTGGACCTTACATAGTCCCCCTACTTACATTCCAGTTACAAGCATAACCCTGTAGAGACCAGGGTGAAGAGGCAGGGGGTGTGGAGATTTGATGGAGGGTGCCATTACCTATCCTAACCTCCCCTTATCCCCCAATTCCTTTCAACCCACCAACTTCCCCCAACTACCACGCAACTTTCCACCACTCCTCACCCTAGACTGGAGAGACCAGGGTGAAGAGGCAGGGAGTGAGGGGGGTATGATGGAGGGTGCCATTACCTATCCTACCCTCCCCTTCCCTTCTATCCCATTCACCGATCCCAATTCCCTTCACCCCAACAACTTGTTCCAACTACACCCAACTCCCCACAACTTCCCCCAACTCCCCACAACTTCCCCCAATTCCCCACAACTTCCCCCAACTCCCCACAACTTCCCCCAACTCCCCACAACTTCCCCCAACTCCCCACAACTTCCCCCAACTCCCCCCAACCCCCCCCAACTACACCCAACTCCCACTAACTCCTCACCCTGGAGAGAACAGCCAGTTTCAGCTGAACGTCTGATGTGACCACGGTGATGTACGGTGCAGTGCGGTGCTGCATGAGACTGGATACCTGGCGAAGTGAGGGAGAGGGAAGAGAACAAGAAAAGGGGCGACCGAGACGAGAAGGAAAAGTGAGGAAGAAAGGACGACAAGGGAGTTGGATGTACGAGTATACAGAAAGATCCAGGCAAACGGCGGGGACTTTGCCAAGGTGTGAGAGTTTGCTGATGCTGAGTGGGTTTGCTGGGTATGGCATGAGCCATGCCAAGCCATGCCATGCCATGCCATGCCATGCCATGCCATGCCACGCCAAGCCATGCCAAGCCATGACATGCCATAATGTAGAGTGGGGTTGCTAGCCCATTTTATAAAAAATGTCAATTTCCTTTGAGACGGTTATGGAGAGGCCTGAAAGAGATCAGCTGATGCGGATTCGTGAAATGACAACGATGACAGCGACTCACAATCGCTCGCTATTATCACCTTGTTTCTCAATGTATGCTCTCAGCATATGATACCATGCACACAGTGCATGCAACCGAATTTTTCCTAATTGCTCATAAAGTAATGGTGTACTGACCTCCTTCTCGATCCATTCGTCTGCTGAGATGCCATTGGAGAATGCCACGTCCACACTGCCACCTCAGCACATGAAGGACACATCAGCACACGGAAAACTGCAAATGGATGAGGAGATGTTGCATCGCTAAGCGCATGTAATGGAATGACGGGTTTTTTGAGGCAAAACCAGGATGCATGTGGTGAACAGGCAAGGCAGAGAGTGCCTAGTTTTGAGGCGCCTCAAAACTGGGTGTTGAGGCAAAACCAGGATGCATG